GTGGTATAATTCGGTTTTCAAAAAGTTCCTAATTGTGAGTTTTTTTAATATCGTAAAATGGCTGTTCATACAACGTCATGTCTCTGCATTTACCACCGTGGCTTGTAAAGTTAACAATATGGCTCAAATTCACTGCTAAATTTCATAAGCCCCATATGCTCTACTCCTAATAACGTGGGGAAATGTATAGTTTGCCGTACGCGGGACCCTTAATGAATGTGTGACGGCAGGTTGTGTTCAAAATCATTTGGGAATTGGAAAAGTTTTTTAAAAACCGAATTATACTCTCTCCTTGAGTATAGAATTGGAAGTAAACTTAATTGTCTACCGAATGAGCAAAAGGAGACCTAAGTCTCTGTCAAATGAATAAATGAATGAATATTTTTATGCAGGTTTTCTATGAGAAATATTTGAAGTTATAGTGGCATCCAAAATCAATAAAAAAATGCATGCTACATATGTAATCTTTTTTTACAAAGTATAGTTTTGCGTGCGATCAGAGAGAAGTTCGTTTGAAAGCCGGCATCCCGATGCAACTAGATTACTATAGAATTATGCTGAATGATGATCAGTTTTACAACCCTACTTAATTGATCCTTTCTAAACGAGAACATATTTCGAAATTTCGATTGGCATTTCATGAGTTAACCCATCTACTGTATATAGGACGATTAGAGCTCCCCCCCATTTCGCCATTAGCAGCCATGGAGTATGTTACGTTGTCTGGCTAGAATTTCCCAAAAAACTTTCAGTTAATACCTGTGTTGTCAGTACGGTAAATAATTACACAGTTGTATACTACTGACTGCCTGTTGGCGGTTTGTGAATAGTACGCGGTTATTCTGCAGTAGCTGATGGATTTCAACTCAGATATTCATATCACATTTCGAACCGTGCGTGACAAGGTCTGTTCCGAAAGATTTACTTCAAGTTCGTGCATTAATTTCCTGAGAAAGTAATCAAGGCAAATACCATAGTTTCAAACTTTTTGGACCGGAAGTTACTCTTTCTTCGAGTACAAAGTTTATAGAGTATATAATTTGCCATTAAATGAGTACGGGTAGGAACATTTTTGTGCAGGCTTTAAACAAAATAGATATGAATTTACAAGGGCATCAAAGGTCAATGGGAAGAGCCCAGACTATTTAAATAGGCGTTTTTGTTAGTTGTGGCTTTTTCATGCAGCCAGAAAGAGGCTCACTAAAGAGCCGACATCCTGTCGGACTAAATTATCTCATGACCATGCTTGACAACAATGGCTATTGCAATAAAAGCATATTTCGGAATCTAGATTACTAGTTCATGAGATAAGACAGGTACTGCAGGTTGCATCAAACCAAAGGCAAAGAGTGGCGGAGAGCAGAATTTTCAACTTTGTCAGATTTGCGGTGGAGCTAAGCCCAGTAAAGCATTCTTTGATGTTGGACAAGGTTTCAAAAAACGACTGGACCAAAACTATTGTTTATTAATTTAAAGAGTAAGCGGAAGACGAAATCAAGTGCATTTTTCAGTCTCTGAGACGACTGAATAGTGCCGACTCTTGGGGGAATACCTGCTTTTCTTAAGGGCAGAGCAAAGATATATACCAACGAGGTGTGTGACACATTTAGACTTACACTGAACAACAGAGTCTCTTTGAAATTTTCCGTTTTTTTTAACTGGTCGCAGTACCACCCAGATGGGAAGTGACTTCAGGATATTCCTAGTTTACGTGCAATCTGAAGGCCGAGACAGGCGTTTCTTTGATTTTTTTTGCGGATAGATGGCGTAATTTCACAATATTCAGTTTGCGCATTATTAGGCTACCCCCTTATTCTCCATGTTGTTTCGGACAGCGCTTCAGTTTTATTGGTGATACCCTCATACGTTAATCTGATATTGTTGAAAGTGCGCGGTGTAAACCTTCCGGGATAATACCTACCAGGCTTTTTCCCGCTCCTTACCTAAAATATTTTAGCCGAGACAGTATGGTGAACTAAAACAAAATGTACAAAACGCACAACCGGATGGAAGGTTTGCAGGTGTGGAGATTACCTGGCTCAAATGTTTGCACAAAATCAGAATAGAAGTCGTGTTCTGGAAAGGTAATATCTTGCACCTTGGGCAATGCCTGCCGTAGCTAAAAGACATCAGGAATGCCCATCAACACCCGATGTTAGACTTAGCCCAGCGTCACGTGCTTACTGTTTGTTGTTCCACACTGAGTGACAGCCATTTTCTTCGCCTCTATGAACGCACCTTCAAGTGGACAGGGCTAATGAGCAACAAGATCATCTCAAAATAGTAAGTGGTTACTCCCCCTCCTCCTTCTCGGTGGTGGAGAGTGCAAAGGCGTAAAAGACGGCAAAATTTTACTGCGTAAAATAAGCCCTTCTGGATACTGCCGGGCAATTGCCATGCAGGTGTCCACGAGGACGCTGTAATATCTGCCAACAGGCTTGTTTTTACGTGCACAAAAACGCGGACGGAGGACCTGATAAGCCCTTGACCCCTCGGACACGCAAAGTGGTTTTGTGACTGCGCGGTGGTCCGATTTTGCCTATCGTCACCACCACTGCCACCTCCGCTCAGAAAGGCCTACAACAGAGGGGCGTGGGGGCGGAAGGGGAGAAGAATGTACTTTTTAGACCTTTGCGCTTCTTTTTGGCACAACTAAGCACTCAACTAGCCGTAGAGACGAAAATTGGAAAGCTGAGACGAAAGTGGATATGAATGAAGTAATTTGAGGAGTTGGGAAAGCTCACTAGAGCACACTTGGGGCACAGGGCAGATTATATTTGATAGGGGAAAATGACTGAGCTTTGGTGTGATTGATCTAGATGTTAGATAAGATTTCACTCTCATGCATTTTTGATGTTTCAACTTAGGAGTCAGTGCCACCCGATAGGTATCTTAGTCAGTATTGGGCCGTACTATCTCCTCAGGAATTAGTGCGTGTAAATGGACAAAAATCTTTAGGACAAAGGTTTCCGAGTTCGGTCTAAATGTTTCCATGACAGTCTGGCCTGAAATGCATCAGTTTAAGTGGAATAGCCACGTAATTTTCACAAGTCACCAACGGACAGTCAATAGTGCACAAATATTGATCTGTTCACTATAATCCCAGGCACTGTATGCACAGCCCTCTCCAAAGTGTAGGTACAGCTCGTGGGCGCTATATAACTTCCGGTTACTTAAAATTGCTGGGGCATTATTGTGTTATTTCAATATCAATTAATTGTGCTATTTAGCAGTGGTCCTTGAGACTAAAAAACTGAACTCGGTGTTATAGGTGACAAAAATCTCCCCGGGCAAAAAAATAATGAAAGTTTCCAAAAACGAAGTGTTGCGCTGCCTTTAGACGTCAGCGTGAGGCTTGGGATGTTTGTGATGCTTATGAAGAGTACACATCAACAGAATCAACACGATCAAGGGACGCTTACAACGAGATGGATCTGAACCTCCACTGAAGTCACGCCAGTCGTTCTGACTGTGAGCTATGGAAGTCAGTTGGGCAAAGTAATGCGCCGATTCCTTGAAATATTCTGTCATTCTTAATGCTTAGGTAGTTCCGTGGGGTTGATCCGTGAGACTAGCCTATTAAGGCACGGTGGACGTTCTGCTGTGAGTGGAATGTCCTTCCCTCATGTACAGGAGGTTTTGCCTATGATTAGAATTTAAGTACTATCTAATGTTTCTGTCCTATAAAAGGTCCTGGCTTGCAAGAATTTTACATCACAATCTTACTTTGGCGGTTGCTCACAGCAACATATGTTTGTGATGTGTATATTCGTAAATACACGCACCGCGGAATGTGTGACGGCAGTAGTCCAGAGGTACGATATACCACGTGAGTCCCAGAGGATCTGTATTTCTATCATTTCTGGCCAGTAAATACCATACGGCTATAAGAAGTTCGCATCTCCAATATTCCCCCTATTTTTAATTATACTGTCTGGTTAAAGTGTGACAGAAATCTTAAAGATCCAGGTATAGAACACTGACGAAGAGTCACTGAGGGAAGAGTCACGCATTCTATGATGCAGTTTGGAGAACGATTTCAACTCGCATGATTAGGGCCTATCTCATAGAAGTTGCAAAGGCCCAATCACACATACAAGTTTGACAAAGCAGCCATTCTTGCTAGAGACGACAGCCGCGAACTGCTCGATTCATAGTTTCCCAGTCCTCAATCAATCAACAAGCGTAACGACCTCCCCGCACTATATTCGGCGCTGGGGCTTTACCTAGACTAAGTAGTTAGCTGCAAGGAGAGTGTGCGTGTAACCCCTATCATCATGCAACCGAAGCTCTTCGTACGAAGCCCCATTTCCTAAGAACGCTGCAATATCTCGAAGGTTTAGATGCGGCTGAAACAAGATTAAATGGTCACTTGTCTTTTGTCTAATTTTTCTAAAGGTGTCAAAACGATTCAGATTCTCCATTGGCAGCTGCTTCGTAAGGCACAATATTTCCAATCACACGCCGAACTCTACGACAATCAGGATTCACGTCAAAGCTTTGTTTTATTAAAAGTCCAGTGTTTATTACTGGCAAAAATGGAAATATATACATTTGTTGCTTAGGTTATGCGGTTACTATTTTCGGAGCAGACAGCATCAGAGAAAAGTAGCAAAACGCCAGTGTACTCGTACGCACATTCGACCAGGAACAGGTTGTTGCGCAGTTGGAGATAAAGACTCCACCCACGCGTTCGAAAAGCTAGTCCGCACATAGTTCACCTATTTATATCCAGCCAGAGCCCTACCTACGTATCCGCGTTGGGTTTTGGACATGAAGTAGTTCGGTAGCGTTGGTAACTTGCCCCACCGCGATCTGTTCGTCTGCCAAAGCATTCAATTCACGGGAAGTAGACCCTATTTGCACGCTCACCTTGCGTCAACGCCGCCAGCAAGCACATCACTTCTTCTGTGACCTTGAAAGCGATTGGTGGATTTAAGCGGAAATCCAACTATTTAATGTTTGAGCGTGCAACCAACAAGCATAAGGCGTTTTGCATCATGTTTACCCTCCGGCTTCCTTTGCTGCTCCTGCTCTTGTCCATCTTCGCTCAGCCGAGCCGTGGCCTTCTCCTTGAATACCCAATGACAATAATGAAGGCACCCTACATGGCGTCTGTTGGCAAATGTGATGCTGTTATCGTCTCTCGAAGTCTCGTTTTAGCCTCGGCTTCCTGTATCTGCAAGGACAAGCGACCTACCAACGTCCTTGTTGGCACTAGTTGGAATAATCTACGGCAATACCCGAAAAATGGTATGTTGTTTCTTTGGACACGGACTATTTATCGGAAATCAGATATTATTGAATACCATATGGTTTTTCTTAAACCGATGGGATAATGTTCAGAGTGAAGCACCAAGCGGAGGTCGCTTCATGCAAAACGCGGCTCAACCCAAGCTCTAGGTTAGAAGGGTAATACCCGAATGTAGAAATTTCCATTTTTTACAGCGACTGTCATGATAGGGTACGTAAATGTCGGTGTCATCAATTATTTTGAGAGAAAGCTCAACCACACAGGAGTACCAAGGCGTATTTCAGCCCTCTTGCGGCCTAAATGTATCATCTGAAGGGATAATTAAACATAAATCAAGAATCGGCAGAAGATTACTGCATATTCACGGAACTCAAATATACATAATTCACAAGACAGAAAGCGAAATGAGACTGCACCAAGATGCTGAAATCAAGTGATATTTTAATGCGACATTTCCTCAATACTCTCACAGATTCGTAATTGGGAATACTATGTTCAATAGCTGGTAGTAAAAAAAAGTCATTACATACGTTTCGAGGACCTGCTTTCAAAAATCGAGGTGAGCTTCCAAGTGGATTTTAAGGGTCAATAATGGCATTTTATCCCTCCTACTATATCATCAATAATCTATAAGTAATTCTGACTCTGCAAAACCTTTTGATATTAGAGCAAAGATCGGTCCCTATACATGGTCAAAACGATGTGACAATGGCACTTTTGACATAAAACCTCTAAGCACGTGTCAGGCAGAAAGTCAGACAAAGTGTTTTGCCACGTCGCAGAATGAAACACTTCCTCATGCCAAAGACGTTTTGGATCAGATAGCATTCCTCCATATGGGAGATCCCCTAATGGTGACACTTTACTGTTTTATTTTTCCGCAATTCGCTAGTCAAAACTCAGGAGCTCTCTTGCATAGTTTGTTGTACAGTGTATGCTAACATGAACATTTGTCAAGGAGCAACGTGGAATGCCTGAGTCCGATAGGGACACCTGATGATTCGCTGGTTGATGAAAGCCCCTTTTTCGAAACTCTTAAGGAACAGAAGGAGGGGACTTTATCCTTTTCGTATCCTTATCGTATCTGCGTATTCTATGGACAAACCAAGTGATCCTGATTCATATAAATACTTTTCTCCACAATAAAATTATGCTGACGGAAACAATACCCTCAGCGATTATTGTAAATTACTCTGTTTGTGAGATTTGGCTTCTAAGTTCAAAAAGAGAGTGTCTAACAACCAGTTTAGCGCAAAACATTTGTCTGCCAGTCTTTTCGAAATATCAGCACTGAGAGATTTATCCGACCCACCGCGGGCGGACACAAGATAGGCATTCGGTTTGTTTTTTTCTGACAACGCATGAACCCACCACGATCCGTCATCCACAATTTACTTTACTAAAAGTGGGATTTATGGAAACCAACTTCGAGCCAACTGGGCAAAACCCACTCCTTTTACTTGCCAGGACATTTTGGAGGAGCGTATACTCCTCCCCTTAAATTTACGTATTTCTGAAGGTCTTTACGCAAAGGTCGAGTTAGACTGCCCTTTTAAACACTGTCCGTCGTCAAACCAAACCATTTGACGTGCGATCTTAGCTCATCCGTTCGGCATATGTTTTTTTTTCAAAAGCAGCAAAGACCTTGGACCTTGGACCGTTGTGTTCTGCCACGTAGCGTCGTAACCCCAAATGCAAAATGTCAAGATCTCCACCCCTCCCCCCCCCATCCATGTTCGCTCACTTTGCTGTTTTGCTCTGTAGACTAAATCAAGGTCTCGGTAGTTTTTTCCGAATAAATCAATAGCAGTGAAGCAGCTTGAAAGCCTAAGGAAAACTTTTTATATTCAGTCAGAGCCAGCGCTTCCTCCCGAATGACGACAGCCACTGCTAGCCTAAACAGGTGTCGGGAGGCCTGTGTTCAAGTTTGCCCTGCCAGATGTGGCGAACCATCATTTGTCTCATTTGGGATGCATTTGATGGCGAAACATTTAAAACAGCTGTGTGCCAAAACAAATCGTTCAAAATGCGAGTAAACTAACAGTGCGTGCGTGTGTGCGGTTAGGGATGTGTGTGTGTGCTGCCCCCAAAATGGGCCACGCGGTAGACTCGCAAGACCAACACGGAGCCCAGATCAGTGCACGGCAAGCATTATTTGCGATACACGCACACACAACAAATACCACACATGAGGCTGTGTGGTGGTGCGCCTAGGCGTAATCTCACGCCGCGCCCGTTACCTGCGCCCGATCTCACCTCCGGCCTTCTTGATTATGTCATGACGCCAAACTCAAGAGGGGAGGGGGGAGAGAGTGCGGTACATGCAGAGCAAGTCTGCCATCACTGTAAACTTACTGACGTGCAAGTCACCGTCCCTGCACCCATCCTACCGTGGAGCACACGGTGGACGTCATCGGAAAGGGCGGTCGAACTGAATGTGCCAATCATGCTGACGCTGCAGAAGTGAATATTCGGCAGTTCTTGGTAGGCGAGTTAGTGTGGGCGAGAACCCCCCCCCCCACGCAACATCCAGCGCGAAGAAAAAATCGCAGCGAAACTTGAAATGCAGTGAAGGAGTCTGCGTCTTCACCTCTGGAACCATAATGTAGTTCGTCCCGCTAAAGTAAAGTTATTCTCAGTCGAATCAAGCAAATCTACGCCACTTGTACTTCACAAGAGGAGGAGTTCTTCGTCCAGGCGAAGAGAGGTTCACGATAAAGACGAGAGCTAGAGGGGCGCACGTACTCTGGAGCAACTGCCACCTCCTGAGAATGGCCAGCTTTCCATTCGAACGCCGCGGCTGCTTTTTGATTTCTGCTGCCGAATACTTGCTAAAAATCTGCTTGCAATGTACAGTAGATGTTCTGTCTCATAGAATTTTAACCGAAACCCCAAAATGTGTTTTCAGTTTGAAACGATTGCTTAAGTAGTGCTGTCAGTCAGCATAGCCCGTAAATATTTTAGACATGCCAGGATACCGGCTTTTGAACAAGATTCTTTTTTGCCGTTTGCAAAAACTACACTACTTATGTAGTATGAATTTTCCCCATTATTTTTCGATTCTCTTCTAAGTTTAGATGTAGTATGAGGAAAACCCGAATAAGAACGTTCTCTCTTGTACTCATTTGATGGAACAATACGACTTCTTCAAAGATGATGCTTAACGAAAGAGTATCTTTCGGTTTTTAAAAACATTTTCAATTTCCGATTAATTTTTTGTCCCACCTATCGCTGCACTTGCATTCAGGGTTTCCGAATCTCATGCAGCACACATTCCACCAAAAAATATTACATACTTTTTTGGTCGTCGTCATCTTAGACTCATAAAGTTTTGCGATGGATGTGGTCAGGGTTTTATAATTTATAAGTAGCATTTGCAGGTACCCTGATGCGATGCTATTTGAATGGGCATTTCACGCTCTCTAAAATTTCATAATTAGGATCTTCTCTTAACCGAAAGATGTTTTCTCATCAAATAGAAATTTTTGAGAAGACACAATTCATTCAAAAGACGACACCCTGGCGTGACTGAAATGCTCAAGATTATGCTGCACGATAGTCAATACTACAGCCATATTTAAGCATTTTTTCTAATCGAAAACATATTCCGGAATTTTGGCTAACATTTCATGAGATAACACATCCACTGGAACTTCCCCTATGAATTTTATTCTCACAGATGTGACAAGTCCCGCTTCGCCATACTATATTTCCCAGTCGGTCTTTTACCGTGGGAATTTGTAAACTGCTGGAAGATCTGGAAATAAAAGCGTATAAGAGTAAAATCAACACCGGTATGTATGACCCAAATCTACCCACTAATATTGTGAATGTCGACTACAGAGCGAATTTATTTGGACACATTTAAAGCCCGGTGGCGCTAAAAGTTGTCAGTGAGTTTGAGCGCAGGTTGTGCATTTTACGAAAAATTAGCACTACAAGGCATATTTAAAGACAACAGTGACGTTTTTGAACAATCAGGGCCAACTACTTTTCAGCGCTTTTGCGCTAGGAATGTTGTAAGCTCGCGTCCGCAAAATCAATCAGGTGAGGGTGGCAATAATGCAAACAGAAACGTTTTCCTAAGCAAGGTGAGTAAGGTGTGTCCCTGGTTAGAGTTTAATCTGGAAACAAAGCCACAGTTTGCGCATTAATTCCCTCAGAAATTCAACAAGGCAAGATGACTTTCCTCCCACATACCATCGTGGAAAGCGTCTGCTTTTAAACTAAAATTTCATGTCTTGATAAGCTGTTATTCGGATCGGAACAAGGCTCTTTTCAGCAATCCTCTCAACAGATGAACTCCTCTAAGCTTGGATCGTGGTTTACATTCACAAAAAGAGATGTATCAAATAATAGCTCGTCCACAACGAGCACTGGGAACCACCACTTCCCCGCAGAAGCCGCAGTGGTTTTTTTCTAGGGAAGCAGATCTGTGCTTCATATATCCTACGATGAGACAAGGTCCGCGCAAGCGGAGATGGGTGTGAGCGCTGCAAATTTGGGGCCCTTCCACATCATTGTTGAGGGAGTGTGTGTGTGTATATTCAGCGGTTACTTTGGGAAAGTTGGACTGACGCGGGCTGCTTAATTTAGCCCGAAATATAGGTAACTTTTCGACAAATGGGGCGTTTCCCTCTTTTGCGATTTTGTTTCAAATATGGTGACGCAACAGGTCGGTCGTTGCATTGGCTGGGACGTCACGAATTCCAGCCCTTTAATTCTAAAACGTGCAAAGTCGCAGCATTTATTTAAAAATGGCATTGTACCATTCTACCGCTAAAACGTCACCAATTTACCCGTTTTCAGGCGATGCAAGACAGCTACTGTTAACTAATCAGTCAGTCTGTCTGTATTTGATGCGGCTTTTAAAGTGATTTGTAAGGTGATAATATTTAATACTTAACGCATACAGTAGCCGACCTATTTCACGAAATGTAAGCTGAAATTCTGAGGTGTGTTTTTGATTAGGAAGGATCGCTTAGGTGGGGTTGTAAGAATTATTAACACACACCATTATCTCAAACTATTTCGATGATACCAGAATGTCGACTTTTTAATGATCCCTTTCCGTCCGCTTGGAAAACCACACTATGCAAAAAGAATTGTCTAAGTAGTACGAATTTCTCCACCGATTTTCGCCGATTCCTGGAAATTTAAATTTTGCAAAAACATGGTCAAGGGTACGGTTTATGGGCGGGGTTACTTTCTTCGAGAAGCATTTGTGCTAAGCAAAAGGACTGAACACCTAAGAACTTTGTGACATCACAAATTTCGATCCTCTATATGGTCACCAATTAAAAGGCGACACCTTTTTTATCCTTTAGTGCTAAAAAATAAATGGAATAAATACTCTTTTGCAAGCATTGTCAAAAAAGTGTTGCCTTGTCGTATTTCAACATCCTTATGCAATAGTATTTTTATTTCTTCCTCGCGCACGTACAAATAAATATCGCCAGTTATTTTCTGTTAGCGCAATTCACCCCGGAATAGGTAACCCCAACCACAAACCATACCCCTGCAAAAACATCTATTGAATACTATTTCTTGCATTCATTTGGCAACAAATTGCGTCCTTAATTATGATACTTGGAGGAAGGGTATCGTTCGTTTTTGAAAACTTTCTATGCCCCGATGAGTCCAGACCTGTGTTTGGACTTTCTTTCGGGGTTTCCAAACTACATGCTGTATACTTTCTGCGAAACGAAGATCATATTTTTGTATTTGCTATTATAAAGAGGTCATGGGCAGCTCATAAAGTTTTGTAATGTATATGGTTAATGTCGTACACTTCATGAGCTGTATTGATAAGCGAGCAGACACGACGCTGTACGAATACCTATTTTTTGGTCTTAAGGCGCGTTACGATTGTAATGTTTGTAAAAGTCTGGATATATTCTTTCTTCAATTGTGAAATTCAAAGAAATAGTCATCTTGCTGCAGATGGTCGAAAATAAAACTCATTCAAGTGCCAGCGTCTTGACGTGAATGAAATTTCTTCGGATTATGCTGCATGATAATCATTAACACAGCATTACCTAGGTAATCCTTTCTAATCGAAGACGCACTTTAAGACTCCGGCTAGCATTTCATGAGATGGGTCAGTTATTGCAACTTCTGCAAGACCTTAAAATATGTGACCCTGTGGCGAATAAGCAATTAAAAATCGAAAACTGCACTAGTATTGGTTTAAAAACAACAAATAGCCTGTCTTTATTTGGATCTTTTCACACTATCCCCCCATGGAAAACGCAAAATGATTTTTTTTATAGACTACTGGCCTACATTTTGGCAGACCTACTTGGAGATGACATTCGGCTGTTTCATTTTGCGCATTACTTGATGAAAAGTCCAACCATTCAAGGCTAAAATCAGACTGAATTACAGTTCTGAAAATCAAGGGTAGCAGCGCTTGTCTACGGCCTGGTACCTCAACATAAACTTTCAAGTTCAGTCACGACTGCACGGGGAGAACGTTTGACAGCCCTATTCCAGTTGTATTCTCTGAAGAAATGATCCCCTCTCAGAGGCACGACATTCGTGAGGCAGACTAAGGTTTCCTTCACTAGTACGAAATTTCAAGGACCTACAGTAGATCTGCTAACTCATGAAATGTCAACCAAAATTTCGAAATGCGTTTTCGTTTCGAAAAGATAAATTAAGTAGTGTTATAAAACTAATCATGATGCAGCATAAATCTATAATGATCCAGTTACCTCAGGGTGTCTGCTTTCGAAAGAACTTATTTTCGGCTGCATGCAAGATCTATACTCTGCAAAAAATGACTAGTTAGGTAGCGTGCAATTTTCTCATTGATTTTCGATGCCCTTGATTTTGTACCGATTAAGTAAACGAATTAATATTTTTATCCATGGTTTCCATGAAATATAATTGAATTTTCAAGGTCATCGAAAATCAATGAGAAAATTGCATGCTACTTAAGTAGTCATTTTTTTGCAGAGTATGGATCTTGCATGCAGCCGAAAATAAGTTCATTCGAAAGCAGACACCCTGGGTTAACTGGATCATTATAGATTTATGCTGCATCAGGAATAGTTTTACAACATTACTTAATTAATCTTTTTGAAACGAGGACACATTTCGAAATTTTGGTTGACATTTCATGAGTTAGCACATCTACTGTAGTTTATTTTTCACACCTGTTCTTATTATAACTTGCCTGTCGCCTGCAGGTCATCGGGTGCAGGAGGTCATTTCTGAAAAGAATAATGGCTACTGCGCGCAGGGCATCCGATCTGATTTTCTGCTCCTACGCATCACACCGCCGATCACCTACTCGCACACCGCCCGCGCCATCGGTCTGCACTGTTCCTCCAGGGTACCCGAACAGATGGCCGCCCTGGGATTCCACCTGCCTGGCCGCAACTACGGCTTCATCAGCGAGGCGGTTGTAAATGTCAAACGTGGGGAACACCGCTACCTAATAGCTCTGAACAACGACATCCCCTCCAACTCTGTGGGTCCTCTAGTGAGTCGCGAGCCTCGTCCTCGCCTATTCGGAATGTACTCGCATCGTTATGGCACACGGTCCTACTTCAAGTCCCTCGACAGTACCAGTTGCAACTGGATAAACCGTCACATCAGGGCGGAGGAGTTTAGGCGGATATACTAAACGAATCGACTTCCAGTCTGTTTATTTTTTGTCTCCAGTTTGCTTCTTCATCCGTTCCGCTCTCCCTCCCGCTTTCCTGTGTAGGTTTTCTCCTAGAAGATACATCTCACTTGGAAAATTAACCAACCGGCTCACATCAAACTACTTTATCTACATACATATATAAATATATATGAGGGGGTCAGAACCTGGTCCAGCAGCGCAAGGCACTTCTCCGCCCATAAAATCGACGTTTCTCTATTGTTCTGGATCATCAAGCGCAAATGCAGTAAAAACTGTAGCTACGTCTTTCATTCCACACAGACACACACACGCACGCATACACACGTCTATTCTTCAGTTCGTAGAGGAGATGTTTATCCTCCCCCTCTCTTCCTGTCCCTTCCTGCCTCCATTCTCTGTCATCTTCGTCGCTGATATGACTTATCGCCGTGTCATCTCCTGAACAGAAACAGCAGAGTCGGTACTCAAGAGCACACATCCTATTGACTCCTTTATCTTACGCCATTTTGTGTTAATTTTGAACACTCTGATCCTGTTACACAGATCATACTCCAGATATTTCAAAATGATAGCTTATTTTATTTTGAGAGCACACATTCTACTGTCGAATTTGGGGACGGGGCAGGATGCGCGGCATTCATAAAGTCCGCCTGAAATCTGACTTTTAATTTCGCATGCTGAGGTCCTTTTCGTGCCGCGACCTTGACAGCGAGAAGGAAAACCGATCGGGGTAAAAAGAATTTTTTTGTCTGATGCTTTTCATTCGCTCCCGAATCCCCCGTCAAAGGCGCAAAGTGAGTACAGTACATATAGAATATACTAGGGGTACCGGGAAGTAACGTCGTAATTAAGTAAACGAAAAGACTATTCACCGGAAAACGTTTCATTTTTGATCGTCATCATTAGTGATCATTGTTGCCAATTTTGGAACAAAGTCTTCTATAGCCTCTTTATAATGAGAAGTTTGTTTTGGTGCGAAAAGTTTAGAGAACCCAATTTGACATCATTGATATCTCGAGATGTTTTTTCACTCAGAAAGTGCTGCAGAAATCTGAACAAAAGATGAGCAATTGACGCGCGAGCAGGTGAATAGTGGATGAATAAATAATTCCACCCTTAATCTCGTGTCTTGTTCTGGTTTAATGGGACCGAATGCTAATTTGCGTTGTCGTGCAACAGAACGACACACGTTCTATCAATAGCGTTAGATGTTTAATGGGAAGATCCGGGTTCACACGTCCTAACTAGTGTCAGTATACAGTAGGCGTGTTATGGCACGAAATGCTTTTCATTTCGAAAAGCGTACTTAAGTAGGGTTGTAATATTATTTTATGGCTTAATACCAGGGCATTCCAATCACTTCAGGATGCCGGCTTTTGAACGAGGCCTTATCGACCGCCTGCGTAAAATAATTTCAATAAAAAATCACTACAAATTTAATGCGAGTTTTCCCCACTGATTCATGAGGTCCATATCAATTCAAATATATTTTATAGAAAGCGTGTCCAAAAATGTTTTTTTTTCTACTCATTTGGTTGCGAATTACGTCTTCTTTAGACTTTATATTTGAAGAATGAGTAGCTCTCCGTTTCAAAATGCTTCAAATTGTGAGATTTTTAAGGCCGTAACCTGTCCAGCCATACAGCACTACGCCATCGAATTTATTATTGCTGTATACAAAGTGGTCAACGAAGTCCACATCCATTACAAAATTTTATAACCCCTACACGCTCTTCTCACAGTAGCATATAAATATGTGTGATTTTCCTGCACGAAAGGTATATAGTTTGTAGTTCGGAAACCCTGAATGCAAATGTAAAGGCAGGTCGAGTTTGAAATTATTTTGCAATTGAAAAATTTCAAAAACCCAAAATATGCACTTTCTTCAAGCATCACCTTTGAAGAAGGTGCAATTCGCTTTGAAATGAGCAGAGGAAAAAACGTTGCTTCCTAGAAAATATTTTTGGATATGTAAGGGTATTACAAACCAATTGTAAGGATTCATGCTGTTTAAGTGCACATTTTCAGGGGATATTACTTATGCAAGCGGTCGGTAAGAAGTTCCTTTGAAAGCCGGCATCCTGTTGTGACTGGAAAATCTTGGTATTATGCCACACAATAATTGATATTACAACCCTACTTGAGTATTCTTTTCGAATTGAAAACACATTTCAGAATCCCTAACAGCATTTCATAAGATAGCATATCTACTATAGATCTGTTGTTACGATATGATCTTCTTTGAGTACCCTGAATTTAAGCATTTCAATCACACTCCGCCAAGCATAGCAATACCTTCTTACGATATCGGCCTGATTTCGGCGTCGGAACTGGTGTTTGACCTGTGGAAAGCCATTGGTTTTTGCGCGTTTTGTCAACGTGAAGAACCCGTTTTTAATCTCCAGTGACCAGTCGATGGTGCAATGGTTTTCTCTCCTGTCTGCTTAGCAAGAAGTCACAGATTCGGTAACAATGGCGTGGGACTCAAACCCCTTGTTTACTGACCGTCCTTTATTTGCGGACGGTGTTCTTAGAATTAGATCATGACCAAATTAATTTTTTCAGATAATTCCTCGATGGTCTGACGAGGATCTGCTTTAACGGTTGCACTGGTCTTCCCGGACGAGGGCCATCGGAGAGTCCGAGATCGCGTAAACCGAATTAAGCTAATCAACACTGGCACTTGAAAATATCTAAGGCATTCGGATATTAGCAACGGCCGAGGCAGTGGCTATACGGCTAGAGAATCCGATGTTATGCTGTCAGAAAACCCTGACACAAGCGCTCTCTCTGTCGTGGCCAACTGCAACCTTAAGTTATAACGAGATGCCTCCTCAAATCCCTAATTAAAGTGGTGGGTACTCTGTGTACTCAATCCAAGAACATCACTCAAAGACTATCTTACCCCCCTCTCCTAGCTCTAAGGACCAAAACCCGCCGACCTCGTCATGCGGGTGGCGAGAGGAAGATGGGTGTTAATGACTTAAAAAATTTTCGGTGGCTGTTGTTCCGTTGATTCCATTGTGGAATTCATAAGTGCAACGATGAACATCACCGACTCCGGTACTTATGTCTTCCACTTTGTTATACCCAATACAAAAAACAAATGAGCACAAAATTAAAAAAGCGTGACCTAACTTATTTGGAAAGACACGTAGGGTTTGCGACCTGTCTGATGAAAGGTCACGAACTATGAACTAAATTGGTTGTCGCGCGCGAACCAATCCCCTCCCCCCGTATCCACGAAAGTTAAATGAGTTAAATGAACGACCAAACTAGGAAAGAAGGCACAATGTGGTTTATGCAGTATTATTTATTAGCTAAAAAGTAACTTATTTTGCGAAAGACCATTAAATCAAAAATGGCTTTATGACATGTTAATTAGTTAATGTCTAATATAACTGCCAGTAAGGAAGGGAAACGTTATACAACGGAAAATGATGAAAAGCGATAACAAACATAAAGTACTAGCATTTTGTTGATTGTCCTTTGGCTTTTAAAATTGCTGTAAGCCAGAAGGGCATAATGACCATCAAGTTGTCTATGGTGGTTCGGTCTGTACAATTGTTAATCATAAAATCCAACTTTTGTGGCATGAAAAGATGGTTTCTTGCCAGCTCCTTCCGATTAATGCTCACAGTAATGTTCTCTTTTATCATAACGCGTAAAAATAAGAAGCTTTGTCATGTGATGTTGAATAACGCACGAAATTACCTGGATGTCAAGAAAGGTTCGATTTGGGCCTTAGCCTGGCCTCTTTTCCTTCCATACAAAAGATCCGAAATGCGTTTATCCGTAGCAGAAGGCTTTCTGCGCTTCACATCAATTTAATAAACAAAACTAACTACATCAAATGTATGTCGTACCACCCTCTTAAGTGCCGATCATGCTATTTCATGAGTTAGGTCATCTACTGTAGCTCAGGTGGAGAAGACATCAATACTCGGTAAATAACATTTAAGTTGAGACCACGTTAAAAAATTAACAATACCTTCCATTACCTTTTCATAGTTGCTACAATGGCCAAATACTAAAGCTGGCAATTCTTGCCTTCATCGTTGATGTTCGCACTTGAGTGATTTTTGGCTTGGTGTCTCGTATCCGAGTAGTCAGTTTTGGCAGTTTTATCGCTAGTGTTGGCGATTGACGAATGATGACTCGACAAATTAGCTCAGCACTATTATCAAAAGAAACCGTGTTTACCGGTACGCCCTCCGTCTGACTAACTATTCCGCTTTGGCAGAGACTTAGGGCTGAGTAGGTAGGTCGAGATCATTGGGTGCGCTGGTGGACTGCTGATCGGAGAACCATGACTTAAGTTGCCCGCGAGCCACGCGGTTGCATCTCCCGCTGGCAGCTTCGATCTCATTGAACCGGAAGGTATGATCGCTTTCCGTCCAGCGAATTGCGATCCGAGAATTAGTGTCCCTCTCCCCTCACTGCTGATACGTACAGGGCTGGCAAATGGCGTTCTATCAAAATGCCGTATTTTCTACTGCGTCGGCGATCTAAGGTAAGTATGTTGTCTACAGTATGTCATTTCACAGTGTAGGGAGGTCAATGGTTTGAAACTGTCTGAGAATAGTCTTTTATCAGAAGCCGCCGTCTTCATTTTCCTTAAGTCGCGTCGACTAAACCATATCGAAATATGTGAAACCGGCATCGAGAATTTTGGGGCGACTGCAAACTACTGTACGAATTTGCGGATTGATAATGGAGTCTGCGTTCGAAGCACTCGAGCAAAGACCCTTCTAAGGATATTTTGGGCACTCGAAGCCCCTGGGAATTCAGAGTCTTCAGCCGATCTTAGTGGCTTTTGAGATGTCGACCTGGTTGTCGTAGCTTGGCGCGGAATTCCCCGACAGCGCATCATCAAGGGCTGGAAAGTTCACTTGAAACAACCGTCTACTCAGTTTCCAGGACTTGTTTCACGTAGGAGTCATCCCAGTCTGGCTGTGGATACCAGAGTCTATGGAGCAAACGACTTTGTGAAATTG